TTGAGGTTAGCTTAGTAACGATGCTCACTACAATACTGGATAGCGAATTGGACACTGCCATTCCTAGCCCAAACATAGCAGCGGCAATACTTGACATGCTTTTTGGGAGCTCAGTATAAAAGAACTCTGTTTGCCCTATTGCAGTAAAAGCTTCAGCTAAGCCGAGTAAACAATATTGTGGCACAAGCCACGTTGCAGGCATGCATGACATTGCACTATCATCGCTTGAGTTGCCTTCTTGGATAGTGTTCCCTCGTCTAATCATCTCAACAATTGCTGAAACTACCACTGCCATGCACGAAAGTAATAGCCCAATTCCCATCCTAAGTTTAACACCAAGCTGCACTGGTTTACCCTTGATCTTTGAGGCCAAGGGGAGAATCATGCGGTCATATAGAATAACCCATATCACCATTACAATATGACCGAAGGTAGCAAAAGAAGCTGGCAGAATTTCAAAGTTTTGAGAAATCTGCCTGTCCAGGGAGCTAGCTTGGATCAAGATGAACCTGGTTTGGTTCACATTTATTGATAGCATGATCCCTGTACTCAACAATGGTAAGACCTTTATTAGTGCTTTAAGCTCTTCTACTTGCTCTATTGTGCAAAGTCTCCACAGATTGACAGTTGAGCCATCAGGGGCTATGTCTTGTTCAGAATTTCTAGTAATGCAAGCTTTATTCGAAAATCTAACAGAAGAAAAGAAAAGGATTAAGTTAGTAAAAACAGTCCAGCACAGCACAAAAATAATAGACCAATTAGAGCAAGTAAATATACCTTAACTTGTCCCTTGGCACAACAATTTCTGAATCCTTCCCGTGATGGTAACGCTCACTTGAGTTTGGAAAGGGAAACGAAAGGTTTCTGTTTCTATAAGCGACCACAATCACTTGGGCAAAGCCAGTAAACAAGCTTTTCTTTGGTTTCTTCTTGAGATACAGGGGAGAAGCAATGAAAAACATAATAACAGAGAGGAATATTAGGGTGGCTGGCATTCTAAAACCCACTCTCCATCCAACATGATCTTGTATGTAAACAATTCCCGTCAAAGCAATTACAACAGCAAGGAATGAAGAAGCATAGTACCAACCGAAGAAGCATAGTACCAACCAAAGAAGGTCTCTAAGACCACTTGATGTTTTGAGTTATCTCTACTTTCCAATTGATCAGCCCCAAATGCTATGGAGCATGACCAAACGCCACCAGCTCCAATTGAAATCAGAGCAAATGAGGAGAATAGATGAGCCAATTGAGCTGCTGTTGGCGATCTGCAGCTTTGGGTTGATTGATTGCAAGGATTAGGCTTTGATGTTGGAATCATGACTGTTAACCATAAAAGAATTATCCCTCGTGCCATTCATTATTCTCTTGAAATAAGTATATGAAAATGCAGTTTAATTTAATCACATGGTCCAAGGCATCAAATGCATTAATTGAATAACTCAGGCAAATTATGAGAAAAAGGCATATATCCGGTTGCTTATTATAGGTTGCCCCATAGTTCTCATCTAACTAATCCTTATATTCATCAAGGTTTAAGGAAATTTTTACAGAAAAAGCAACCAAGTCTTTCTCATTAAAAGGGATAATCACCATGCTAGACAGTTATCAAATGAACGGGCTACTCTGCAATTATTTTTCTCCTATAGATATTACCCAACCTAATTGTCCCCAACGCTTGTTGCTAAAGCTCCATCAAAACATGAGACCTTCCCTGTTCATAAATTAATTCTTCATTCTTTCTCTCCTTGTTTGGGGGTTAAGAGGGTGTTTCTAATGAATGAGAAAACACACAGGAGGATCAAAGGAAACCTTTTTAAATACTATTCAACTCTTGGCCACCATTCACCCTGTTTGCTGGAAGAATTTGCAACCAATTATATTTTCTTGAATATATCCCTAACAACTAAACCACCCGGCCCTAAGCTATTTAAGATTTGCACCATCCTTGGATGTCCAATTCTTTTGGCAGATTTTGTATTTATTTGCTGGCAAGTATTGATTAATAGAAGAAATTACTCATCACAGCATTCTCTTCATCTGACAACAGAACAGAAGCAGGCAAATGGGGACTGACACAAAATTATTGCAAAATAGATGTAGTAGCCAAACCAACTATACTGCAGACAGCTAAATTACTAAATGTTGCATAGACTCTTCAATTTACACTACAAGATATGTAAGAACATCACTCTTGATAGACACTGTTCCAAATATCAGATGTTTACAAATTGACATGCCCTGCTGAGGGACAAATTATAGGAGAATGGTTTTGCCAAAGGGAAAAAAAAAATTAAGAATAACAGAAGGTATTTTGTAGTCGACTGCACCCAACTCCAAAATAGCAGAGCCATTAGATGAGGGCTCCCTGAATCAATCTATGCAATTGTCCTATGATATAATTGTATCTTCATCTTGGTGAAGTTAACAAAAAACATTTTACTCAGTATAAACAGTACTGGTGCGCGTTTATTATTCCCAATCCCAATAGAATAATCTAGAAACGGTCAAGATGTTTCATAACCATACAGGAAGCTAGTGAGAACAAACGTATATGATTATACCACACAAGCAAATCAATTTCATTGGAGAAAAAGGGGAAATGACTACATAAAAGGAAGAAAGCTACTTATGAAATAGTATTTTACCGATAAACTAGCCATGGAACCAAAGCCAACGGTGAGGAAACGACCCAGATATGAATCTGAGAGGAAAGCACCCAAAAGAGAAATGAAACTGGTAGCAGCATTCCAGAAGAAGATAACATTAGAGGCTTTAGCAACGCTCATGTGATAGTCCTCCTCAAGTAAAATATGATATTAGCGGTCATCCCATAGCTTGCCACCACCTCAAATGCTTCGTTTGCTGTTCACAAGTCAATACACCAGAATCAAGATTCCAGAATTCAGCACCAAATCATGGGAATTCACCATTTCAGCAATAGATCATTACAAATCACAGAACTCATGTAGAAAGTACATGCATTTGTGTATTTTTTATGAGTATTTTGCACATATCAAAAAGCTTCACATGATATAGCTACATGAGTCTTGTAAACACCAAGAACAGTGATTATTCAAAGCTTCATCAAAAATTAAGTTTGATCACCAACTGTTTTGACTCAATGCCAAGGAATGGAAATGACCTCTTTATACGTACCAATTATGAATGGTATGGTGATAAGACCTCCCTTCTGTCTAGTGGGAATTTCTTGGTTTCCCATTTCCCTTTGATCCGAGGAATTCTTCACTTTGTCTTCCATTGCTCAACTCTAGCTTTGTTTCTTGTTCTTGCAGATGCAGAGCAGGAAAAGCAGAGAAAGAAACAGAGGGTGAGACGGTCGGAAAAGCGAGGAGTTGAATGCGGTCTTAGGTTCTGGTGGATATTTAAACCAAAAAAGCTGTCTTCGCGTCATTGCCTGTAACATCTGACATGGAGGCAGAAGCCGACTTTTTCTTTAATCCTTTACCTTATTGCATATGTAAGATCCAACCCATTATCTTATATTATCACATTTTCAATTCTTTACTTATTAAAATTAAATAAAATAATGTTTATTTATAGTATTTTGTTAATTTTATTAATTAATTATTAACTCTATTAATTGATTATTAATTAACAAAAACTTTCTATTAGTTGATTATTAATTCTATTAACTGACTATTATCTAATTATTAACTGTCAAAAACATATTCTCAACTAACGGAATTAATAGTCAACTAATATAATTAATAATTAGTTAACAAAACTAACGAAATATTATAAAATAAGAGTTATTTTCTTTAATTCTAATAAGTAAAGAATTAAAAGTATCATGATATAAGATAAAAGATTAAAACTTATAAATGTAGTGAGGTAAAAAACTAAAAATAAATTTTATCCTATATGGAATAGACATACCATGATTTGAACTCTTTTTCTGACTGCTGCATCAAACTTAAAAAAATAAAAATAAAAATAACATATTATTATTAAAAAAAATTTTAAATTTTTTAATTAATTTTTAACTTATACCTTTAAATATATAAATTATATATTTTTTGTAATAATAAATATGAAAAAAATAAAAATTAAAAAGTTTTGACATTTAAAATGTTAAAAGAAACTGTTGATATATTTTTAAGAAACTCTTTTATATATTAATTTTTTAAAGATATTTACATCTTTTTATTATTAATTTTGATATTATAATTTTAAAATATTTTAATTTTTTACAATTTCAATTAGCATTAAAAAATAAAAATTAATCTTTATTTACTAATTAATTATCTAATGAAAATAATTTATATAATATTAATAATGAAATTAAAATTAATTTTTATATTTTTTAATATTCATTAATATTAAAAATATACATTTATTTTAATCTTAAAATATATAAAGAGGTAAAAGCTCAAAGTTTTTTATTTTTTATTAATTAGTACATGGAGAAAGATAGAGTGCAGCATGTCTGAGGGTAAGAAGATGGTACACAAGTCTCTTTTCTCTAATTGTCCCCATCACAGGTCATAATCATAACAATGTGGGACCATCACCATTTGAAGGGCCCAACCCATTCCAAACCTGGAAATAGTGGTGTTTTGGTTTAGGACATTACGTTTCACGTTGCACGTGGGACGCGGATGAAGCTGGATTAAGTTAATATTAATTAATTTAAAATTTTTTTCTTTAAAATTAAACTTAAAAATTCAAATTTATATATTAGTATTATTCAGTAGTTAATAATAATATTATTACTATTATTATTATTTATAATACTGTACAGATTTTCTTCGAAATTGGAATCTTTGCACCTTTGATATATTGAACAAAGAAAAATCACAATACCAGCCACCAACCATCCTTGGCTGTGAAAAGATCGTTTTTCGTTTTAATAGATTTTGGCATTAATGACAAACGAGTGGCAGAAAGCGGCTAAAATCAACTTTGGCCCCTCACCTTATAAAATTGATAAGTTTTAACCTCTAATTTTATAATATGATATTTTTAATCTTTTACCTTACAAAATTAGTAGGTTTTAACCCCTCACCTTACAAAATTAGTAGGTCTTAATCCATCACCTTATATTATGACACTTTTAGCCCTTTATCTGTACGAATTGAAAAAAAAATAGCCCTTCTTTAACATCGGATTATAATATTCTATTAGTTCTGTTAGCTAACTGTTAGTTTTGTTAACTAACTGTTAGTTTCGTTAGTTAACTGTTAGCATCCGTTAGTATTTCGTTAATAGAACTAACAAATAAAATTGAATTTAAATTTCATGTTTTTTATAATGGAATGCTAACGAATGTTAACAATCAACTAACATAACTAACAGAACGTTATAACCTGATGTTAGGTGAGGACTATTTTCTTTAATTTATATCGGTGAGGGGTTAAAAATATCGTAATATAAGTTAAGAGATTAAAATCTATCAATTTTATAAGGTGAAGGGTTAAATCTTACCAACTTTATAAGATAAAAAGCTAAAACTATCATATTCTAAGGTGAGGGGTTAAAACTTATCAATTTTGTAAGATGAGAAACTAAATGTTGATTTTTACCCAAAAAAGCTTGTCTGATTTTTTTTTTTTTTATGCCCTTCCATGTAAATGTTTCTAACTTCCTATGTGTTTATGTTTACGCCGAATTTAATAAATAATTTAGTAATTACTAATTTAAAAAAAATGTATATTAGTATCAACTTTTAAATAAATTAAAATTTTAATATTAAATTATTTTATTTAATTTAATTAAAATTTAATTTAAAGTTTTAAAAATATTTCTTATTAAATATTAATATTTAAATTTAAAAACAAATTATATTTTTTAATATAATCAATTTTAAAATTTAAATATTAAAGTCCCATTTTAGTTTATAGATTATTTTGTTAAAAAGAAGTGTTTATTCTTTCTGAGAGTTTACTTAAACATGATAGCATAAATGCAGGTATGTACTCAATTTCCTTTTCTGGATTCTTCGACATTGGAACTTCCTCTGACCATCTTTGTTCTTAGCAACAGGTAATAAATTTCTTTGTTGGTCAGTTATTTTCGCGGTTGCTAGAGCGAATTGGACCATTAATCCTGAATACAATCTTTGCCACCTTTTGTTTGTTGGGAGCAATTTTGGTGAGGAAAAACACATTATGCATGGAAACTAAAGGAAAATCACTTCAAGAAATTGAGATTGCACTTCTTCCACCATGAATAGAGGTGTATCAGTTGCAAACACACTACCATGACCATAAATTTTATTTGACTATTCAAATTTTATTTTCTTTCAATACATTAGGTTCTGTAGGACATTCTAGCCCCTTTTCTCAGTGTCCAGGTTTAGCTTTACATGACATGAATACGGTATATGACTCCATGTTTTATATCCATTTTCTAGATCAAATACAGGACATAACCGAAAACTTGATTCACTTACTTTACTAACATATATGAAGATTGGCTCCATTAATTACTACTAACTTATTATGTAAATGGAAGCCTTGGAGTGATGCAATATCTCTCTAAATTTCTAGACCAGATAATTTTGCAGGGCAATGGAGATTAACAGTTTCATCATTCACATTTCCAAGTTCTGATATGAAACCATAAAAGAGTTTGCTAAATGCAATTATAGTTGGGTAATCCGATAGAAGAACATAGTTGTTTGGTGCTCACTTGGAAGGCCTCTGTATATTGTAAAGATTAACCCCTATCCTATATCAAAATTTCAAATTTAAGAGATATCTGGTATAAGCTATACTTGGTAATTTGTACCGCACAATTACAATTATGTATTTAATGAAACCAAGGAAATACGAACATAAAATGGAGTGTAACCTATACATGACATGAATTGAGTACTGGAGATCAAGATCCGAAAGTTTCACATCTCAATCTTGCTACTAAGTCATAACTTTATTGGCATTGTAAGATCCTCTTTTGCATGTTGATGGTGATTACTAAATTGATAATTAAATATGTAATAATAATCATAAGATCACAATAACTAAATCTTGAATTAATATTTTGTTTCAATATAACGTTTTTCTTAAAAAGATTAAGTGATTGATTGGATTAGCTTTTCCGATATAATTGAAAGCTAATAGTTAAATATTTGATAATTAATAATTGTTATCATTTATAATTTAAAATATCTAAGTTATTTGATTAAAGTCAACAATTGATAACTATTTTGAAAAGGCAAAAACAAACACTTTCTAAGTTATACTATGAGATAATTCTCTTATATCTCTTAACCCACAATACTTATACCATGCAACTCTTAAGTGTAAGATCCCTTATTTTCATTATAAGGAAAATCACTATTAAGCCACTCTAAATTAACATGTTACTTGCGATTTGCAAAATGATTAATTTAAAATATATTTTACATGTAGGATGACTTGACTATGAAATTTGAAGATATGGGACTCTTTATTTTTATTATAAAAAAAATTACTGTTGGGCCTCTTTGAATTAACATATGACTTGCAAAATGACTCATTTGTGATATATTTCACATAAAGGATGACTTAAGCATGAAATTTGAAGATCCATACTATGGCATCAATATTTACAATTACAAATTTAAGGTCTAATCTGAATTTATGTCAAAACGTTAGGGACTAGCCATGCAATAAGGCCAAGCAAATATATAAACCTGACAGTAGCCTCTAAAACGCAAAACCCCAGCTGGAGCAGAATTCACCGTTGTTTCTCTCTTCAGTTTCTTATTTCTGTGATTTGCACTTCTGAGGAGTAAGGTCTTTCTTTATACGAGTGATTTGCTGTTCTTTTTAAGCCTGTTGTGGTGTGAATTTCCTCGAAGCATGCTCGATCTTGAATGCATTGTGTTATGTAATAAAGATGTAAATTTTCTCTGAAGTTACATATTTTGTTTGATTCTAGACCTTGAAACGTGATCCGTAAGACGAAATTATGTCATGGGTTATGAAGAATTATGTCACTGGTTATGAAGAAATGTATTCTTGTCTGGAAGGGTACTTAAATCCTGGTTGCTTGTTTGTTTTAACTGGATGCTATTATGCCTGTTTATTGTTTGATAAAATGCCTCAACGAACCGTGTGCCCTTAGTAGAACCTAAGTCCGGGGGGACAGAAGTTATATTCTTTTTCCTTTAAAATGGGATCAGAACAAGATTGCATGTATCTAGATGCTATAAAGAAAATAAGAAGTCATTTTGCAATTGAATATACTTGGTTAATGAAGAGAAGGGTATTTTTTTCCCCTCTGGTTCTTTGGTTATATTTGATAAATGAATTTGAACAAAAGGTATATGGTGTTTTCCTTTCTTTTCTTCTCATGGCAAGCTTTTAATAACATGTCTCACTAGTAAAAAAACCTGACTTAGCTCTGAAACATTATTTTTCCTTTTATCTTTTATTTTTGTTGTAATGTTCTTCTCTTGATATTTTCTATAGTTTCTTTGAAGTTAAGGTGATATATATTGGCAATGGAGAGAAAAGATGATGAGTTGAAGAAGACTCAAGTAGTGGAAGCCCGAGCAAGAAACATAAGTCACAATGTTCGCTGTACAGAGTGTGGAAGTCAATCCATTGAAGATTCACAGGCAGATATTGCAATTCTCCTCAGAAAGGTAACTTTTTTTTCTTTCACATCCCAGTGATCACTGATCACCAGTACCACCAGATTGTTTCTTTCATCATGGCTAATAGTTTACTGGCTGCTAAAATTTATAACTTCAGCCATTGCAAACCACCTAATTCTTTGATTATATATCGGGAAACTTCTGGGGCTTCTTGTGCAATAAAGTAGAACTGGTTCATCTCCATTAAGCAAGTTTTGGTGGCACAGTGGAAGTAAGCTTTAGGCCAATATTGATGTCCAGACTGCCCCACCACCTATTTGGCTTTTCTCCTAGACAATATTGATGTTCTCTAACCCCAACTTTTGGTATACAATAAAAGTTATGGTGCTCTGTCTACCTTTTCAAAGTTATCATCAACTAAAACTATATATTCTTCCATGTTAATTCATTGTGGAGATGGAATTTGGGTTGTGAATTGACCATTGTTACTTCTTTCTCTCCTGAAGATATTATTTTTCTCAAAGTTTACTTGTATTTCTGAACTCTTTCTAGATCATTTTAATTTCTTGATGCTTCCCTTGTAATGTTATAGTAACTTTGCAAATGAGAAATTTCTGATCCTAATGTTATTGTTGCAGTTGATTCGTGATGAAATTCAAGCTGGAAAGACTGACAGAGATTTATAAAAAGCTTGAAGAGGATTTTGGGGAGACAGTACTTTATGTCCCAAAGTTTGATATGCAGACAGCAGCCTTGTGGCTATCACCGGTCAGTTAAAAATCTTTAACGGCACTGACACTTGCTAGTAGTGGATCTTTCTGTACATACTTAAAATTGGGTTTTGTGGACAGCTTCTAGTTGCGGGTGCTGCTGCAGGCGTATGGACTTACCAGAAGCACAGGCAAAAAACTAATGTCCATATCATGGCTTTAAACCTTGTTAGAGGTGTTCCATTGACACCAAAAGAGAAGGAAACTATGCTAGACATCCTCACACCACCTCCTCCACAAGGTATCACTCCTTTCTCTCGGTGGAAAAGGTGGCGAAGTCAATGATATTACCCGATAATTGTATCTCCATCTGAATAGGCAAGCAACATTGCATCTGGTACTGAAGTACAACCATGTCTAACTCGTAGTGACAAGAATCTACTCATTTATATCAGTAGATGCTCCATTCAAATAATTTTGATTGTTCAATTTTAATTTTGTTCCCAAGCAACGATCCTTAATCAAGATCATGACTGTAAATTAAAATATATAACAAGCAATATTTTCTTATAATATGCTATCCATCTTATGTTTGCCATACTTTATCGTTATATTTGTAACAACTAACAAGTTTTTAATGAAACACACTGCCAATCAAACCTCGGCCTCATGGATGGGGCAAGGCTTTGCAATCTTGAGGTTGGGCATCAACTAATCAAACACATTACAAGGTTACGGAATGTGAGAAATGTTAAGCATCAATACATACATACATATGTATATAAGGAGGAAGGATTTATTTATATATAATTTTTACATATTATATTTATATAAGATTTTAGTCATTTATTTTTTTAATTTTAATAGTTAAAATTTATTTATATTTATTAAAAATAATTATTTTTAAAAAAAATCATAATAAATATTAACTATTTAAAATAAAAAATAAAAATTAAAATTTTATATAAATATAATGTACAAAATTTATATATAAATAGATATCCTTATAATATAGTGTTAATACTTGCATTTGAAATTTAAAAACTAAATGTAATATTTAAAAATAAATTTTTAAAATTTTAA